TTTTTTGCTGGTGGTTGGCAGGCCGACAGTCGTTTGACCCAGGCAAGATGTCCCTGGGTTAGACCATTTGGCCAACAAGCTGACGCCAAGTAGGCTATGAGCTGAATATGCCTGAACGCATGTGGGTTCTTGCTTGCTGCAAACGTTCTAAATCTCACAGCGGTGATACCATGGCAGATGCCCACGTTGCATGATGGCAGCAGCTAGCCGAGTATCAATGGATATGCATTGCGCACGCGGAGGTGCATCCCCCGCAATTGCTTTCGCAAGCTGCCCAGAACCAGCAAAAGGAGATCCCAGATGCATGCTCAACAGCAGACTTGGAGATAGTTCCATGTTTTGTTCGTGGTTTCCGTGCTCTTGAAGAGATGAGGCCCAAGCGTTTTGTTGGCAGCGCCTGTTTTCTGCTGGCAGTCGGATGGTAGCCTTTGGCCCCTTGTGTCCCTGGCTGTTGGCAAAAGCGGCTGGCAGGGGCATGAGCATCTAGCTTTGCAACCCCCCCGCCCTTGAGCTTCCCACCATAAAAACATTGCTCTTGATTGCCGTGGTCTCACAGTATTAGGGTGCTGATTTGTTAGCTGCTGGCTGCATGGGCGCAAGTTCTATCGCATCCGTGGGTCTTGGTCAGGGCAACTGGGGATCTTTTTTGGATTGGTTGAGCATGGTTCAACCCAAGTGACCGCAAGTGAGCTGAAGTGACCGCAAGTGACCCCACCTGAGTTTCCCGTTTCTTTTGACAGAAAGTGGAGCGGGCATGCGCCATGCCGCTTTGCGCAGTTTGCCGCTGCTAGCAGCCAGCTCCTAAAACATGAGCCGCTGCAACTTGCGCTGTGAGTTAGTCGGCTGAAGGACTGGAAACGCTGTTGGCACGTAAATTCTTAATTCTGAAGCCACTTCGTATACCTCATGGGTCCAAAGGGTGGGTCTGTGCCCTTGGGAGCTTAGCGATTGCCACGCACCAAGTAGTCTGGTTTGGGATGGCCTGCTAAGGCTTCCATCGCTTTTGCTAACGTTCAGACACCAGCCAGGCCGGCGACCGGGAGATGCGGGTCACCATGTTGTTGACTTGCAAATGTTCGATGCCCAACCGGGTATGCGTTGAGCAAACCGTGGGCTAGAAGCGCATTGGGTTGTGCATGCTTATCGTTTGCTACAGTGATCAGATCACATGATGTCAGATATGCCAGTGCATTGCATGACGACACAGGCGGGGTAATCTTGGGAGCCCGCATGTGCGATGGGGCTTTGCTTGTCCAGGCGATTCCTGATGCACAAGGCGTATGAAATGCAGGACAGGGAAGCTCTTATTGGATTGATGTCTTGTTGAAAAGTCGTTGGCCTTGGCCAGATCGTTCAGCGCCCTCTTCCTACAAGAATTGTGCGAAGCAACTTTGTGCACTTACCCCCGAGGTGCAGACTCAATTCCGGGCAGACCCGAGTTTCACGCCTCAGTGCCAATGAAAGCCACAAAGTCTGTCCATTGACCCCAGCTGAGCTACCTTCAGGCCAGTTAAAGCCTTGCATTTGGTAGTTTGCCCTTGAAACAGCTGATCACTTTGAGACACGTAGGCATGTGTCAAAATAAGTGTGTTCCGTCTGGTGTCCCTTGCCAGAAAACTGGAGCATGTGCTTCGACTGTTTTTGAAGGTCATCAATGGGACTCCCACTAGTTCTCCCAGTAGTGCCCTTTTACCCTTTTTTGGGGAGGGTTCCCCTGCTAAAGTAGACTTCAGAAAGGGTTCCCTTATTCTAACCTCTCTACGGGCAGACCTAGCGTATGAACTATCATGGCTTGCAGGAGCCATGAGTTTCCCAAAACCCCAGCGGCCCTTGCTGAAAGCCCCCGTCGCGATGGACCCAGTCTCAGGAACTTGGCCCAAAGATGGCCAAGGACGACGCGTACGCCACTGCCGTGCACGGGCCATGGAGACGTTTGCGTGTCGCTCGCCGGGGAAGACGCGTTTCTGTGTTTTTTCTATGAGCCTAAAAATAGTTAGAGTGTTGCGGGGTGCTTCAAATGCCATTTTTTGGTCGTACTCAGAAGACAACCACGTGTTTAATTGGTTCAGCCGGAATTTGTGTGGCTTATGATATGAAATGCCGTCACATTTTGGGCATGTTTGCCTCACCAGCTTGCAAGCTCAAACCGTTTGTCCTGAGAGTCGAACTTGTTGGCAATCCTTAGCCTTCCGCCTGGTGGGTCAAATTTGAGCATTCGCTATGCCATCCTGAGTTGGGTCCCATTGGGGTGCAACGAGATTGCAGTTGCAGCCATTGACCCCTCCCCAAAAGTTCAAGTGGTGGACTTTGTCGTGTTCCTTCGAATCTGCTTCATGTCTTTGTTGTTTTTTCTCCATGTCATCATCCCAGTTTATGTAACGTGGCTATCCCACACAAAGACGCGGCGGGCGAAGACATTTCAAGGCGCTCGGCGTGGGAAGCAGATAGGACTAGACAACAGGCGGGTGCCGTGTCTTTTTTGGTACTGTCAGGCTGCCTCACTCCCTGAGTTGCTGAACTTAAAAGTTGTTGGGTTTGGGCCATTTTAGTGGTAAATCAAGGTTTGGGTGATTTTTTGGCCGATCCACTCAGGAAGTAAGCTGGTCCCAGGGCTGGTTAGGTTGAACTATCCGGCCACTCCGGCCGAAGGAGGTATGGCGGGTCCAGCTAGGTAGGCAGGCACTGCCGACTTACGTTGCAGCATCTTTAGTCCGGCTGTAGCTGACGTCCACCAAACTGGCCTGAACAGTTTAAATGCATACCCGAAAGTGCTTCCTAAGAAGGAGTTTTTAAATGGGGTTGGGGCATGCAAGGAAATCCCAAAAGCACCAACCTTTTCTAGCCCCTATCTTTGCGGGGAACGCGCAAAGCTGCGCCTTGTGGTTGCGACGTTGCTTTGGTGGAGCCCTTTTCGAAGGGTGGTCTCAACGGCTGCGAGTGGGATTTCTGTTGACATGTTGCATGTCCTGCTGATGTTGGAATGGAAATGCTTCAGTACGGTGGGGCTTTGCCACGCGCGCATGGCCGACCAGGCATTTCACACATGCACGGCGGGCGCCCTACAGGAAGCCAAAGGTGAATGTGGTAAAGGGAGCATGTATAATCACGTACCTCGTAGGTTAGCTCGTCCAGACATTTAGTTGATACCCAGTAAGCTGTTTTGTTTCTTTGTGCATTTGCTTGAGCTGTGTTTTGCAGGGCGTTGAGCTACACGGATGTTGTTTGCGCGTTGGGCAGACAGATCCGATTACGTTCCTTAACGCATGCGCAGTTTTCCGCCAGCCAGGTGATCGAAAGACCAGGTGTGGAGCCTTTGGTGTACCACGATGAGGAGTGAAAGGGCAGTTGGGCTCAGATTCTTTCATTGTTATTCTGCACTGGCTTCCTTAGTGAAAATGTGTTTCTCTCTTGCAACGCGCAGTTGTGACCTGGCGGCTTGAGCAAATCTCTGGCCTAGGCTGCGCCTCAAGTTCTGGTGTCGCTGTAATTTTGTATAATTGTGCTGCTTGGTGACATTGTGAGCTACTTTGAAGAGGCGCCAGGGCTCTGCGTGCAGAAGATGTTTCCACGAGGTTTTGACGCTTTGCGCAGGCAAAAGCACGCGCATGCAGGTTCGGAAACACGACCGAGAGCATTTGGGGGAAGGCTACCGTGTAGCTAGCCAGCAGTTTTTTTTGTGCGCGAGGAATATTGTGTTTTATTTTTCACCATCAAGAAACTGCATAATAATATGGACCGCCCGACAGCCACCTTTTAATTGTGGAACCGAGCTCAACATGATTGTGAGTAACGTTTTAATGTTCTTGACATTCAATCCTGAGTGTGAATATCACACACGAGACAGAATACACGTAGCGATATCTTGCATCTTATTCACACCCGTGTCCACTCCCCGGTAGGGGTATGTACATAATTCCAACCCCTTCAAAATGGAATTGTGGGAGGCGGGTGACCCTGAAATTTCATTTTTGATTCCCACCCATTGAGGTCGGGCCAGGGGGATCATACATATATAGAGTGGGTTAAGCAGGGCACCCAGAGGTGCTCACCTGGGGACAGGAGGGCGTTCTGCGGCTACATGGCCGGGTTGTTCGACCAGACACCGCGAACGGGGCTGGGGTGGCGCGGGGCTTGGGGCTCGGGGCTCGGGGCTCGGGGCTCGATCCGAGCGACGTGAAACCAGCTGGGATTGAAAGCGGCTGGGAATACAGGAAAGCCTCATATGGGTACTTGGCCAACTTCCTGTAGTTCACGTAGCTGGTTTCTGTGAGAGGGTGAAGGTCTTGCAGCCTTCTTCATTCAGGTTGCTCCATTGTAGCAAGTAGCGCAAATGGTTCTTGTGTGGGACCTTTTGTAGCGATGTGCACAAATGTGTTGGTTTGGGTTAGTGGGCACAGGCTGAGAAAGACTTGGGGATGCGAAGGGGAAGGCGGTGGACACACACTCCAAAAAATCACAGGGTCGACGCATAAAGTGTTTTTTGAGGGCACCATATTTGGATCGTTTCAAATGAAAACTAGAGGACACCCATTATTTTAGAGATCCCCTATTCAAGATGCACCCGAATGGTTGCCACGTCCTTATGGGGAAGCTTGTTGTTTGTTCAGCTGGAGCCGAAAGGTTTGTTCTTTGCTTGTGTGCCAATTCCTCGCATTGCCCGAACAGTAGGGGTTGAATGCCCTGCAGTCAAATGGGTCTGTCTTGTTTTGAGGGTACCACCTGTCTGATTGGTTTTCAAGAAGAACCGAAAGGAACACTATTTTTGGGGGACCCCGTACAAAAAGACATCCAAATGAATGCTTTGCGGCAACTGATCAACACCCGTTTTGCGCCACATTCAGAAGGCAGCCGTTTTGGAGAACCCGTGTGGCTTCTTTTGACATTGTTGCTTGCAAGGGGCCCCCCCAAAACAAGCATGATCGTCTTCTTGCATACCATTTGATGGAAGTGGTTTGCCAACACCGCCGACATTCTTTCAGTTCCACCAACCCCCGCCCCTCACCTTTTGCTGGAAGCATTTCATTGAAACTCATCGCCTTCTTGTAGTGTTTAACCCAAAGAGGATGTTGCTTACGGAGTAGCCTCAATGTAGCCTGTTCTGCTGGCAAACGTGCTTAAGACTTGACCGGCCTTCCCCGAAACCTTGCATTGAAAGGTCCGCTGATATAGCGAGGTGAACAGAACATGTTTGTTTTAGATGAGCATCGAGAAGAGTATGTTTGCACGTGCAGGCATGTGGCGTGTGTTTGTGCATTGCAAATGTTGTTGCAACACGCCCCCGCCCTCCGACATGGAACCAACTAGGCGGCACGTTGAGGAGCATTGTCTTGTAGGGTTTCCAGTCAGATTCCATGAGAAGGGTCCAATCAAGCCTCATGGGTGTAAGGGAAACCCAGGCGATAAGGCCATACTGCGCACGGACCAACTCCCTGAAGCACCGGTGTCCCATTGTCGGGCTTCATCCATCCCAACGGTTGCAGGAAATGCCTGACCCAAGTGATAAGATCATACCGTAGATGGTTACCATCCATTCAAGAACCAGTTGGGATGGATGAAGCTCCATGAATACTGGCTCAATAAGACGCCAATTCCAACCAGTGGACATTGCGCCATCTACTTTCACCCAGCCGTATTTTCCACTGCCATGCCCCCTTCCCTTCGCCCCTAGAACTTGCCATTTGTTTGGCTGCCCGTGCCCAGGTACTCGTGCACACAGCAGTCGGACCTCGGGATTTGTGCGCCGGGACGTGGATCCAGCTCTACGTCCCTTGGTCTCTTTTGGCCCATGAGCTCCCGTTGGTTGGGGTGACGTTTTGTGTGGGGATCTGGGGTGCCCTGTTTGCCGTGGGTGCTGCTTTCCATTTGCTGGTTGTTTGGTTGTTTGCTCTGAAGGCAAAAGGTCCCTGTTGGCCCTTGTTGAGGTTCTGGTGACAGTTTCGCGCTGACTTTGCGCGATGGGCAAAAACTTTTTCGTGTTTTGCTCACCATGCAGGTAATTCTGACCCATGCCCAGGGCAACACCAGGGCAGTCGATTGCGACTTTCTGACACGTTTGGCGGTAGTTGAGGGATGATGTTGCACCCTTTCGGTCATGGCAATGAGTAACGGCACCCGAGCAATGACACAAAGCTTGGACTCGAGTGGCCAAGTGCGAGGAGCTCAATGTGTTGACATGAGCTGAATTGTAATCCCAAACCATGCGTTCCGCCCCAGAAGGCCCGTTGGGCTTAGGGTTTAAGCTTAGGGTTTAAGTTTGCGGTTGAGGTTTAGGGTTTTAGGATTGAGGGGTTAGGTTTACGGTAGGGTTTTTAGGGTTTAGATTTGGCCCCAAACACCTCCAAAATGCCTGGTCGTTTTGGTTTAGTGCTTTGGGTTTTTTGGGGTTGAGGAGTTTAAGCAGGGGTTTTAGGGTTTAGGTTCACGGTTTTCCAGGTCCGTTGGAGCTTAGCCCTTCAAAGTCCCAAAAGTTGTTCTTTGCTGCACTTGAAAGGCCATCCCTGCCCAAATTGTCAAACTAAGCTCGCTAGGTGCTGACCCCCTTGCACATTTACATGCCCTGTTTTGCTGCGTTTCCCCACTTTCCCGTTTTGGCACCTCCAGAAGTGGCTGTTCAATGCAACCCATGAAATTGATCAACTGTTATTAATTAAATCCAGTGACCCAGTTTTGTTTGCCACGGAAACTCGCAGCACCAGGTACCTGCATTGGCGCGCGGAAGTGCTTGCTGCGCGTGGCTTCACTGTGCTGATTGCAGACCTCTTGGGTGATGAGCGCGAGCCCTAGAGGAGGCCGCGGTCAAGTTTGCACCATGGGTTTGGGCCTTTTTTGTTGGAGAGAGAGATAGCGAGAGAGAGAGAGAGAGAGAGAGAGAGATAGAGGGAGAGAGAGAGAGAGAGGGAGAGAGAGAAAGAGAGAGAAAGAGAGAAGGAGATAAAGAGTGAGAATCCAAAATAATAACTTTCCATTGGTTTGCAGGTACATCAACCCCAAAAAGGTTACCTACAAAAAGACATCCCCCATGTCCCTCACTCCTGCGGTTTTCTTTTGCCCCTGTTTGGGAACAGGGGCAACGTATGGAGGGTAGGCTGTTCTGTCAGGGTCAGGGCTGAACCCTGCACAAGTCCCCAAGCCCCTAATTAATAGCATAGAAGGGGACATCGTCCAAGGCCTCTTTTTTCAGTCCCATGGTTCCCCCTGTTTTCTTCCCCAGAATTAGTTTGCATTTTTTTGGAGTTTCCTTTGTTTTCCACTGACCAGGCAAAAACATATACTGTATTTTTTGCTTGGGTCCTGACTCCAGCCAAGTAAATTTGGGCTCCATGTGTTTCATGCTGATCTGAAGGAGGGAAACTGGGGTTATAGTGTTCGAGCTGGCCTGCCTACAAAAAGACATCTTATGCGCATCACGCCCTTCGTTTGATCAACGTCAAAAGGGTTTGAGTCGGTTTGAGTCCTGCTTGCTTGGGACAGCCTTTGTGTCCCAGTTGTTCTGGTGACACCTGTCCCCCCCATTGTGCCCAAGTAAATTGAACAATGGAAAGAGGATGTGCAGATCTCCTTGGCTCGTTGAATGGAAATTTCGAGTGTTCCCTGCGCCAAGCTAACGGGAATGCTATGGCAGCGGGTGTGGTTTTAAGAACTGACTCGTTCAAAACCGGGGGGAGCGGTTCGCAGTTTGTATTCAATCGTTCCTGGGTACTGGCCACAGACAGTCTCACTCGCTGAGCTCATGGACTTTAAGCTTTTGGGAAGACCAGTTTAGTGGTAAACAACAAGTTTGGACTTTTTCTGGCCAATCAACCCAGGAAGGGATCAGTTTACACGTAAGAACCCTGGCAGTTGTCCTTTGTGGCGGCCTCAAGCCCAGGCACGGAGAGGGCTGGGAGCTGGCCCCTCAGAGTGGTAAATGGATCCACACAAATAGGAATGCCCAGCTCAAGAGGATCCAATGAATCCGTGGACACCAGACGCGGCGACCAACGGGGCCTTCAAATGGATGGGCGCCAACCCTGCCAAGGGCACCGCGCATAAATCGCTTTCAGGGACGCCACGAACCGTCTTGCCTAATTGTAGCAGACAGCCTGCAATGCAGGCGTGTAGGCTTGCAGCCCATGCTCCAGGCTGCCAGTCAGTATGTGAATCTATCTTCTTCTGGCTTTTTGCAGAGAGCAATTCTATTCCAGGATTCCTGTTTAGCAATGAGGAAAACGATCTCGTTGCAGATCTCAACCATAGTCATGGAACCTGTTGGGAACAATGCAAACCTGATGGAATTAACTGACGAATCTTATCGATATCTTCAAGTTTCATGGGAGCCCCTCAAAATCCCGACATCCTATCCCCGATTCTAAAGTGTTGCCCAATACCACAATGCTCTTTCCATAGTATTTAGGGGTCAAGGTGTGCTTGCGCGCTCAAGCTTGACATGCTCCGTCTCCGCCTTGACCCGGGGGGTGGGGGTTAGATCCCTCTCAAACGGAGTGGTGACATTTGCCCTTGGTTTTGCGCATCGTGTGGCAGCAAGAAGTCTTCCAAACTTAGTGCCAGCATCTCACCAAAGACTGCTTTTCCCCACCCTAAGTGCTTTCCATAAAGCAATTGTTGGGGGGGGCTGGTATGCAACACTGACATTGTGGCCGGCACCCGGAACAAGAGAGAGAGAGAGAGAGAGAGAGCGAGAGAGAGAGAGAGAGAGGGAGAGCGAGAGTTAGCTGTGCGACCGTCCGGTTGAGGCCCGCATGGAATGCGCAAGCTCGGGAGCCACTGAATGATAGAGAGCGATGCCGCAGAAGGACGGGGGTGTGCGGACTGAACCAAGCGTTTGCTTCGATTTGAGGCGGGACAAAGTTATCCTGAAGCAGGTTGGAAGGAACATGCCACGGGTGCTTTTGGCACATGTTTGGGGGTTCGCACTGGGTTGGTTTGCGACTTGCACAGTTTGCCCTGGCGCACTGTTTAGAATTGCAATTTAAATAGTTTGATTTCGTACACTGGGGGGGCCACAGACGATACGCACGAGGACTTGTGAAAGCGCTGACGTCGGCCCTTCTGGCAAACACTGTCAAACGGACGGTGCCCCGCTCAAACCGGCGCTTTGCTTTCAATGCCCCAATTAACGTACAACTTGTTCAGACGCCACAAATTACATTGCGACTTGCCAGTGACAGGTGGTTTGAATTGCCAAATGGTTTTTGGATAGTGTTTGGCGATTCACTTTGATGCCCCATTATTTCACCATTCTCGAAGCCACGGAGATTCCCAGTGCAGATTTTGTTTGTGCGTTTTCAGGGATCCTTGGATCCCTTGAAAGAAGCGCGGAAAGTACAGCCAGGCCTTGCTGGCCCCCAACCTGTTTGGGCTTACCAAGACGTGAGATGGAGGTTGACAAACTGGCCGGGCCGTGGCTGCATGGCTGCAGGGAGCCCCGCAGGATGCAAGCTTCCGTGGCAGCGCTGGCGCAAGTGCCAGGACTGCGTCCCAGGTCTCCTTAGCTTGGAGCCCTTTAAAGTCTGTGCGTTGGAGTTCCATTTGGGCTGGCCTACTTATGCGAAGAAGTCTGGCCGGTTTGCAAATCATATGCTGCAACGGCAACAACTTACCGCAGGTGGCGCAACATATTCGTCCTTTCTGGAACTCTTGGCCAGCACCTTGCAAGGGTATACCCAGCGCAGTGAGTTCCACCAGCTAAGAATTTATAGACGCAACCAAAGCCAAGCGAAGCCGCCACAAAAAGCTGCTACTGTGAGTTCCTTGGCGGAAACCACTGTGTGGGCAAAAACGACTTGGGGGGCAAGGCCCGCCCCCTGTGCCATGAACTCGAGGGTTTGCAGCACACCCTGAAGCATACATAAGAAACAGGTACCTTAAGAAGTAGCTTTCCAGTAGGCATGTTTTGCCCATAGCAACCATGTCCTAGTGTTTGCCTTTTGGTGAACACTGGGCTCCTTAGCTCCTTGGTTTCCCCCTTCCCCCCTGTATGATGGACGCCTGGGGCCTATGTTGTAACCACCTTCTTTCAGGCTCCTGGATTTGTATGTTGTTTCAGGGTATTCTTCGTGTTTTGTAAGATTCTTATGGGTGTTTAGGGCCGCGGAGGTTTTAGGCTCCCTGCACCCAAAAACAACAACAACAACAAAAACACCCAACCAAAGTAACAAATCAATCGCCTCCAGGTGTTCATGGTACCCGAACCGACCCACCTGAGGCGTGGACGGGAAGCGCCTGGCGGCGTTGGGCTACTGCTTCGGAGGGAGGGCCGTGCTGGACCTCGCCAGCGCCAGACTCGGATCGGAAGCTTCGCAAAGCGAATCGGCCTTTGGACCTGGACTGCTCATTGGGTGTTGCACAAAAGCGGAAGTCAACACAAGATGTTTTGGTTTTTCCCCCCTTAATTTTTGGAAGGGAAGCTGCCACTACTGGAAATACATGATGTTTTGTAGTTTCTTTTCTTCTGGGAGTCTGAAGAAAATGGAAGGGTTGAAACTGGACCTGAACCGCTTGGATTTCGCGAGGCTGATAAGCAACATCTGTAAAACTAGTGGATTGAACATGTTTCAAGAAGTCTGCAAGTTTCTGAATATCAGATTCGGCTACCCCCAACAAACATGAGGTGTGAAGCCAACCCGAAAGCAAACGTCTCCTTCATTCACAAACATTGATACAATTTGTTTGCGAAATTTTGGGAACAGATTGCAGGGCGTAAAAGTCCTGAAGCACGCAATCCGCCGAGTAAAGAATTTAAATTGGATCGTCCAAGACACTAGTGTTGATTGATCGACTCAATTGTGAAAGGCAGCAGTGAAACTAGGTAGCAGTTGGACAAGGGAAGTGCTAAAAATACCCCTAATGAAGGCTGTCAGAATATTCGTATTGGCTTGGGTAACACGGGGGAATCTAGTATCATTTGGCAATAGGGGGAGCGGATTATAACATATTTTGTGCAGCTGATCCGCCCCTCGCTGGCCTTGCTGCAAAACATGGGCTCGCCCGGTGCTGGTCTGTGTGCTGATGAGACGGTCGCGGTTCTTTCGGCTGCGGAGCGGGAGAGTTCGTAGTGCATCGCCCTGTCCAGACACACACTCACACTTGTTCGCTGATTGTAGCATCTTCTCATCCAAGTTTCCTCCGGCGGTTCTTGCCACCCTTTGGGGTTTCCAGCTGTTTTTAAGATGATAATTCAGACGGTCAAACTTTCAGGTAGCCCTTGGCTGGTCGTTTGGCTTGGCGGTTTGGGTGTGAACCCCAGTTCCTCTTGAAGCCAAATGGGAAGGCATCCCCCATTGAAACCACCAAACCAAACCACCGTCGATGCGGTAAATGACATCTCTCCGTGCACGTGCAAATCAACTTCGGCCTCCATTTGCTTAAGAGTATCTGGTTGTTCCCCTGTTGGTGTTGAAGGACATCTGACATCTATCACTACTGGAAGTATGTGATATTTTCAGGGGACTTAAGGATACGGAGGGCTGGCAACAGAAGACACGCACTTGCTTGCTGGGTTGCCTTTTCAATACTAATTGCAGGGGGTTAAACGCATCGCCTGCTCCGTTCACTGCAATTCCCCAACAAAGGAGTCCAACCGGTGCATTCCACGTATGTGTTAGCCAGGGCGCGCTTCAAAAGAGGGATCGGCGAACGTCGGCCATGGGCATTTTTATGGACATCCGCAAAGGGAACCTGAAATTGTTGTTTGCTTTCTTGCTTCTTTGGTGTAAGGCTGATTCAGATGATTGGCCCTTCTTTGCCCCCTCCCAAGGTTTTCATCAGATTTGCCCGCTCAGGAGCTGGCTCGGAAGCCGGGATCGCTGTCGCCGCCCCAGCTATGCAAAAGGTAAAGCTCACAGAATTGGCTCCTCTGGGAAGGCTGGAAATGCACAGGCTTTCTACATGTTCTTGTTTTTTTTTCTTTTGAAAGGTCGACTTACTTTGAACTGGCCCACTTTTGTTTGCTTCCGTCCTTGGCCCGCTACCGAGGGGTCAGAGTCACAGGATTGCGAGTCCAGTTGCAGAATGCTTGCTTCAGCGACGCGTGTGCCTCGGCGGCTTGATGTCTTGGCCAGATGCATTCTGAATTGGACCAAGCAGTTGACAGGCGAAGTGAAGCGAGAGCTCCAACCAACGCATGCCTGCTTACATGAAAGAACAACGCACAAACAAGCAGCCCTAGGCACTCTCATGCGTGGTTGAAATCCCAGCCTTTCCTTCCAACCAGACCTCCAGTGGGTGGCAAGTCCTTTCTCCTTTTTGTGGAGCAGGTTTCCCTTTCAGAGCCAGCCCACTCTCCAGATTACTACCTGTTCCCCTTGACCAATGGAGCAGACGAGCGGCCAACAGAGTAAGTAACCCTGACTTAAACCCAAACTCAAGCTCTTAACTTGCCTTCGGCCAAGCCTGGGTTGGGCTTTCCGAGCCCTTGATTGCTCACCTGCAACCCATTGCCATCAGGCCCCTTTTCAAATTGTTGGATTCCGGCGGGTGGAATTTCAACGTCCAGGGCCCGTTCGTTTTTGGGCCACGTTTGTCCCCGCGCCCTGAGGCGCGGTGACTTTTCGGGCGCCATGGACCGAGTGCCCTCGCTGCAGCTGCAGATGATCCCGGAGATTTCCACGCCCACGCGGGGGGGCGCCATCAACTCCGAGGCCCGATGCAGTTTGGTTTCAATGACTCAAAGGTACCTGAATGAATACTCAATCAACAACACCAGCCAGACTCCTGGTATTCCCCCCACCGATGGCTGGGGGGTACCGAAAACGTGGAGTCATAATATCATAAATTTCCTCACCTAGAGGGTTGGACATGGGTGCTGTTTTTTTTGTGGCTGGCTTGGTTGAGAACTTGGCAGGGGCTCACTAATTTTCCGGGGCACTCATTTTCCGGGGCCAGGGGAGGTCACTTTTTTGTTCAACGTCCATACGCCGAAAGGGATGTTTCTTGGCTTGGGAACGATCGCTCTCAAGAGATCCTGTGAACCCATTATTTACTCCCTGCATCTCCCCAGAGATGAGACATCGAACCCAAAGAGCCACTCTTGTTGTGAGGAACTTCCATGCTAACCCGCAGGGGAGACATGTCATTGTTTAAGCGCAACACTTATTATCTAGTAAGTACCTCACCTGCTCCGAAATCATGGGCTCCATAGAGTTGGCGCTATTTGACATCCTGCGCCGGCTCTGCTGGGGAGATGACTTTTGCTTGCGCAATGGCCCGTTATCAGCATGATTGCTACCGCTGTTATCTTCAATATTGGTTTTGCCCAATTATTTCCCAGAAGCTGCAAGCTTTGGAGTCTTTGCCCAGATAGGTCCTGAGGGTTTCAGGGAGTTACCGTTTTCCTTCTTTTTTTAAAACAAAATGCCATCTTGCAGTCTTGAATTTGTTTGACATGGTTCATAGTGGGACAGCTGGCTTGCTGCGCTTGTCCGAAGCGACTTAAGGGGCGAAATGACTTCCCAACAAAAGGTATGCCTGGAGGCTATTGGCAACCAGGAACGATGAGCAACTGTTTCTTGTGGCCGTAGAGAAGGAGGGGCAAAGAATGGAATTGGAACTGCAGTCCTGTAAGAAACAGAGTTGCACAGGCAGAGGAACTTGCGAAAATACATCCGAAGCCGAACATGGGACCTGAATCTAAATGGAGAGTTGTTCTTTTCGGCCTCAGTTTACGCGGGCTAGATACGAAGTGGCGTGAGCCAAAGCAGACAGAAAAACAAGTATCGTCGACACGGGGTTGGGAGTGTTGGTCAATTTACACCTCCGCCCTTGTTTACTTTCCTTATCCGTCGCAGGCCAACCCTCGCTGCAGAGAACTCCAATTTTAACGTAGTTTGATTGCAGGCGCTTCAGCTGCTGCAAAAAGCGGAAGTTGGATTAGACTGTTTCCCCAGCAGCAGAAAGCTTGTTGGGATCTCTGCCCAGATGCGTAGGCTCCAGAGTGGGGTTCCAGATGGGTTCCGGGGTCGAACCATCGATGCCCCCTGGCCTTGAATTGGCAAACGTAGGAAGTGAATAGTTTCGGAACATGTTCCCTCTACCACCCAGTGCCCTTTTGCTTAAGGACCTCCTAAGGTTCGGCCATTCAATTTGCAGCAGGAGAGGCACGTCTTCGTGTGTTTCCCCAACTAGAAGCAATTCTAGAAGTTATGGGGTCTCTGCCCGGAGCTCCAGGGTCCGCACGAGGTCCCGTTGGCCATGAGTGAGCCTCCCACCAAAACTGTAGACTCAGGATGCCATGGTTTCCTTCCATGCACTTTCAACCGTCGCCAAGGCATGGAGCCCCCAAAGCCGGTACCCGGCCTGTCGAAGCCCGGCGAACCCTCCACGTGTTTGGTAGGTCCCATCTCAAGAAAGCCCTCACGCGGCTCGCGCTCCCCATTCCCATCTTGCCTCAAGTGCGTCTCCTTTCTAGAGGTTGCTTCTGCTTGGCGTTCAAGGAAAAACCCCACATACTTGGGTTGCCTGAAGGGAACCACCAATGGAGACGATCTAAGGAAAGCCCAGGACATCCGCCTGTTTTGGCGGTTTCCCCAAATGGGTGTTCATCTTTTCAACAGCCAAAACTGCTGGTTTTCTGCTGCCTTCCCTTGACAGTCACCTTTTTCGTTTAAGGGAAGCCGCCAGGAAAACCCGAAATCCCACGGCCCGCCCCAAGCAGCTCCGCGGAGGCGATGGCCACAGGTGGGCCCAGCCCTGGGGCGGTGGAGTGGCTTCACCACGCGGCCAGCTGGGGCTCAAAGATCCGTTGCCTCAACGATTCGCTGTCCTTCCCGGGCTGCCTAGAATGGATTCCTTGTCATTGTTTCAAACGGGAAAATGCGTCCACAGGATAGTGCGAAATCCAGTTGGGTGCATCTTTTTTGTTGGGGGGGACCAGGTGTTCTTTGGGTTTATTTTTCAATCCACCAAACAGAAGAGTTCTCAAAAAGGACAGTCCCGTGCTTGGCCCAATTTTTGTTGGTCTGCCAAAAGCAGGCAGGTTTTCTGCGGGCTCTACTTCCCGAGCCGACTACCAGGCAACATGACCTCAGCCTCGAAGATGGTGTCCACTACACCCAAACCAGTAACCCCACGGAGTCAATGAATGTCAATGCGATATACAACCACCATACAACCACTGTGTGAAGGGTATACGCTCATGTCCAGCGACCCTGCAGCTTTGTTGAATGGTGCCCAGGCTGGTAGCTGGGATTGACTGGGGTAGCCGGGGTAGATGAATACCTGAAACAGCTTCTGAATGTGTTTTTTTTCTCATAATCAACCTGGCAGGTGAATATGGGAGGAGTTCTTTCACCACATGCATCAACGAGGTGAATTGTGTCACATCCTTGGTTCCCATTAGGTTCCTTTTGCAGTGGTCCCTAAACAGAAGCTTTGAAGCAAAACTCGTTCCGAACTGATTGGCTCCGATTCTCTTGTTTCACATGTGCGAATTTTGATTGAATTTGTTGGGCTACAACTGGCATCTGGCCTAACTGGTCATAGTTTCCAAAGGCCAGCTTACTTGGATTTGTGAAACCACGTGGAGAATCGGATCTGCCACTCCGTTTTGAGCAGCCCAGGCTTCTCCTACTCAGCGCCCAAAGCGGAGGCATTAATCGAGGCAAGGGTGATCGAGGGTGTTTCGCTCGAAGGGGCGATGTGATTGAAGAGTTTCAAAAGGGTTTTCATTACACCCGAACCACTGACTCTAGCGAAACTTGGGGTATAGAAACAAACAAGTCAAGGTTGTTCAAGTAAATGAGCTTTAGTGGCTTCTTGAGACGCAGGAGGTCGTGGATGCCCTTGATCCTGGTAGCAAGATGTAGCAGGGAAAGAAGCTTCATGGGCGTAGGGGCAATGCGGGCTATAGGCACCCCTGACAGGCATTATTAGCGATGGTTTGGGTTGCCGTAACATGTTCTGGCATGCTGCCCGGTATGACTTGCGCATTATGATCAATTCTTGGGGAATCTAGCCAATTGCTCCGTTTCTCCGACGTTACGTTGAGTTGGTGCTTAAACCTAGCTTGCCTTCATTTTGCAAGGCAAGCATTTTGGCAACATGCTTCAAACCTTCCGCCTTGTTGAACCTTGGTTTGCAATTCGTAGGGCGACCTGATTTGGCGTTGGCCGCAGCAATGCAAGCGATGGTCAACCAGCCAGAGTCCCATGTCCTGGGTGGTTTTTAAGCAAGATCAAGTATTCCGATCAACTTGCCTATGGATGGGAGTTTCAAGCAAATGCCCTTTGGTGGACACACCTAGGTCAACCAAGGGCACTCTTCTGCAAAAGTCCGCGACAATCCGCGCTTCTATGTAGAATCCGTAAATTTGAGCATGTTAATTTCTCAGGCAGCGTGACTTGTAAAGGCTATTTGCATTAAACTTGATTTTGATGGAAAAACCGTGCGTTTTGTTTCAGTGCTGGCACTTCGCACGCCATTGGGCGAGCCGCCATGTTAACGTGTCCAATTCACCGGCTTCAAAGAGCGCTGATTTCGGCGGCCGTTTTTTTGCCGATGTCCATGCTGCGTTTCCATACTTGTGGGCGGTGTTCCGCGCATTTGCGGTCTCAGTAGTTTTGGCAGAACATGGCATAACAGCAACATTCACCAAAGGACGTGGCACATCTTATCTCAAACCGGATAGAGGTGCAATCCGGTCAAACCGATCGCATCTGATTGAGCCTGCTACACATTGCTTGCAAGTGTGGAAAGGAATAGCGCAAATGCTCACCGGCGATTCCTGTCTCATTTCCTGAGCATGGTGCAGGTGCGCTTTTTCAGAAAACAGAAGTATATCCTTTTGGTTGGCACAGGTACGTGGACATCATA